CTCCCCCTTCCTCACCTTCTTAATTCTGATGCCCGTTTCTACTATTATAGTTTAAATCCAATCGACGATTAAGGGTGCCGTTCTATAGACGAAAAAGTGAATCTTACTCATAATTTGTCCCGATCTCTAATGACCGTTTTCCTCCATGGAGCACCTTTTACAGAAAAAGATAAGTAGGGAAATCTAACTTCAAATTTGCAAAAACTTTTATGAATTCCTTGTAACTGCACTTGGATTTTACAAATCTGAGAATTTATCACAGTTATATTTTTCTTACGAAGTTGAATACTTTTAGTGATCATAATCAAGATCATATCAAGAGAATTTGATTGTTCATTCTTACAGATTTCCATTTTTCCTGTGCACGGGGAACACGATTATTTGAAATAGGAACCGCTGAATTCAACATTAAACTGGAATGCTAGATGCTATAGGAGAATACAGGTGAAATGAGACAGAAGTTATGTGTCTTTTCCTAATGGCATACTGTTCCAGTTAAAGATATCAATTTATTCCAAGTATCCAATTCGTAACCTCCATAATTGACAAAATTATTATGTTGTTAGAAAATAACAGGATGATGGAAAAATAACATAAAAATTCTGTATCATAAAAAATAATAAAAATTGTACAGGTTAAGCATCACCTTTCACAAGTAAATTGGTACATTCGGATGTCTGTAGAAAAAATCGTAGAAAATCATCAGGCAATCAGAAATCATTAGACAGAGGAGGAAACAGTGCTTACGCTATTTATCCGTTACCTCGGCGTACCCCGGCTTCTTAACATGACACTTAACATTCCAATATAATAACAGAGTTCAGTGATCGGAACGGATTAGTATGAATACGATTCCGATTGGTCATTCCTCTACTGCATCTTTTCCACTCCTCTTTTTCGTTGTGCATGAGAGGGCACTCTAACTCAAGCAATTACATTGATCAGTTCAGTTAACTGGCCAAATACGATTGGTCAATTTCGTCGAGTTAATCGTCGATTAGATTTAAACTATGACGATGGAGACGGGTGTAAGACCGACTGCATTCCTCGACGATGATGTCGCATTCACGTTCGTAGGATCGACATAGCGATAACGACGAACTTTCGGTGAGGGACTCGTCGGTGAGACAGTCTCTCGGGTGGATCCGAGAGACAGATCCCGGCATGCCCTGCGAAGCTGCCGGGATTTATTCGACGTTCTCAGTGTTGTTATGTAATATTCGCGCGCGTTGGAACGTGTAACGTCGTCGCACGTGGAATCCTGACTCGAACGGTGTTCTCTATGTGTGTCCGTTTCTGCTAGGTCGGCGCGAAAGATTCGTTCGCGAACCGAAAACGAAACTGCCGATCGCGGAGGATTCATGAGTTTTATGGATGAAACGAACAATATCGACCCTGTGTATTCTTCTCAGACTAACATCTAACAAGGATCTTATTTTCTCTTTTTTTTTTAACGCTCAGGAAAATATTGTAGTAAAAATTACCATAAAATTTTGCAATGCTGGATCATATCATATTATAACTGAAATTATGTTGCTAGAAATTACAGCACAACCATAACTTCAATTATAATTCCGGTATGGTTCAGCGTTACAAATTTTTGTGGTAATGTTGGATTTGTTTTACTATTACTGCAGCGGCTTATATTAGTTTTCTTTTCCTCTCCTTCCCACTAAATCTCAAGAAAACGAGAAATAGTGCAACTCAGACGGCGCAAAACCTACAACTGGGACATAAGACGTCTTTAGAACGTCCTTTAAAGACACGTTATAGACTTAAAGGCGACTTTAGGACGTTTTTGAGATATCTTAAAAACGTTTTATGTCCCGGTTTCAAGTTTTGTGCTGTCTGGAAGACCGGTGCAGGAATAGAAAACGAGGACCCGTTTGCTACAATATTTTCTCCGTTTTCCACGGAAACAACTAAGGAAAGATGCGGAACGATTTTGTCGCAGCGATACATACGTTTAATTCTCACGACAATATTCAATGGAAGAACGACGGATCTTTTGCCCCGACCCGACAGCTACTCTTCGCGAGAGAGGATGTAAGCGTGATCATGTAAATGTGTTTGTGTGCGTGCGTATGTTTGTGGTGTGTATGCCGAGGAAGACCGCGCGAGATGAGCTCGTGGGGATGAATTTCCGCAAAGCAGCATCGCATAATTTCACGTCAGCCGCAAGAGAGCGGCGACGGTCGACGCGGGGGTTGGTGTCGCGTATGGAGATGCGAAAGTTCCAATATCGAGTACGAACTGACTAGCCTGTAAGCTAATTTAAATTACACTGTACATAGATCTATGAGAATATATATATATTATATGTGCGTCGCGTGCGAACGGACAAAAGAAGGAAGCAAAAGAACGAAAGAAGAATGCACGAGAGAGAGATCGTAGAGTCCCGCGGGAGAGCCGAATCGGCAACGAATCGCCGAGGTAGAGGTACTCGTCGGAGGCTCCGCATTCGGGGAACCTTCTCCTCGGCGTGCCTCCTCGGATTGTGCCGCGAAACAAACGACCGATTCGAACGCGCGTACGGTTACCGTAATCTTCCACTCTTCCCCACTTCCCGACCGTGTATCCTTCCATTGTCTTTCACAATCTCGAGTAGACACGCTTCCAGGACACACTCGTGTCCCGAATGTTAGTCACGGATTACCTCCTCGGTTCGATGGTGATTCAGCAGCGGCTCTCTCGAATTAGCCCGATAAGTTCCCAATACTGCCAAGCCAACAATATCGGTCTTAGGTTCTCGTACACGATCGATCGCTCCCCGATTCGCCGACGTTCATCCTCATCCTCGCTTCGTTCTCGTCCTCGACGAATCGCGCGAGCCGCTCCGGGCTTCTCCTCGAGGCTATCTGTGCGCGATTGTGCAGGTGTCGTAGGTCGGATTTCCTTCCGGATTATCAGCGACCCGAGCGAACTGTCGAGAGAGAAATCAGACGACGTACCGCGGGAACGTCATGGGAAGTGCGCTTTGTACGTTTGCCGGGAGAGAAAGAGAGAGTTTCAAAGGCTGTGCATAGATGGACAGAGAGTGAGTGAGAGAAAAGGGGGAGGGAGAGAGAGAGGGAGGAAGGGAGAAAAAGAGAGAGAGAGAAAAAACCAATAGAATGTATATGTATTGTATCTATTTTACCCCTTTTGCTCCTCCCCTCAACTATACGTTACTCCGCCGTTGGAAAATTTAGGAGCGCGAAGTGTGAAGCGAAATGTGATTCCGGAAGATTTTTTAATTTATCTTCACGAACAAACTATACAATATATCGTTCATTTTGCATCGACAAGTACATGATAATCAATGTCAATAAAATATTATATCGATATGATAATATCGATATAGTATATCATTAACACTTTAATGGCCGCTCACACAACATGTGTGTGATAGCCGGAACAACTGTTATTATCCGTCACACAACATGTGTGTGATGCTACCGCCGAAGATTATTGGCCAATACCACACTTTCTGTGTGATGATTTATAAATGTAAACAAGAATTATTTTGTGAATTTTAATAAAGTTTTTTTTAATTAATTCTTCAAAAATATTGTCCCTGGCGACGTTTGACTGCGTCCATTAAAGTGTTAATACATATGTTTGACAATTAACATTGATCTAGTATTGTTACACTAAGTGGGGGAAAAAAAAATCTAAAAGATCGAAAATATTCGGTGAGTACTAATAACATATTTAATTGAATTTAAATTTTTTTATTTGAACATATAAAATATACAATCGTTTTCATAGAAACTACAGATTTAAGAAAACGTATATCTCCTCGTCTGGAAAAAAATTTTTACTATAAAAATATTTTTTACGGAATGGCACTTCTTTTGATTACGAAATAAGCTGGACGTCTGTAAGAATACAAAGGAGGAATATCCAATTAGCGTTACATTCAAAGATAAATTATTAGATTTTTTTCTCGGTCTGCAGATATTTGATCATTAATATCGACGTGATATTCTAGCCCAGTATTAATTTATTAAAGAAACTATATGCGAGAACAATCTATGATTCGCATTGCTGGACTTTTCGACGATAGCGCCTCGAAGCCTCAAAGGCAAGAGGAGACGGAGAGACGTCGTGTTTCCTCGCATTCTATGTACAAAACTCATTCTTCCAAACAATCGTTTGCACGTTTTTTCCTCTCTCTTTCTCTCTCTCTTTTCTCTCTCTTTCTCGTCTCATCACCCGTACGTTAACGAACGACACTGCGGTAGTAAAGAAATTACATATTCGTCGACTGCGCAGAACGGCCGGCAGACTCGCGGAGAGGCGAAACGGTGGACTCTAGTGCTTGTTCCCATTAGTCGTTAAACGAATTTTCTCGAGACACATCGCGATATCTTCTCCTCAACACGGGTGCTTCGCCGCCGCCACCCGCCTCTTCCTCGCCATCGACAGCGGAAGTCCGAAGTCCGTTGGTGAAGACGCGCAACGCCTTGTCCGGATAATCTTCTTGCCGAACGAAATGTCGCGGGACCGATTTGTTCATTTAGAAGCAAATCCGGATCTACAAGTGTAGCGAGCCTTCACAGCCTTTTGCTCTGAGCAATAAAAAATGCAACGTAATTCCTAACAAAAGGGTGCGAAAAGTCGCAGTAACATTTGAATCTTAGAAATTGCGATGTCTTGTAACGCTGAAAACACTTTTTGTTAGAAACTACGCTACAATGTAGCGCTTAAAACGTAAGGCCGAAGGCTTGCTATATCTGTTGTATGTCTGGATTATCACTTGAGCGAATTTTCCTTTTATTTAATTGGTCATAGTTATGCAAGAAGGATCGCCCAACCAACAAAATTTATAATTTTTAAGATTTCGTTACCAGTAAATAATCGATACGTCTTTCTACATAAAACAAAAACATCCGAATCTCACGGGTACACAAAATTAACGAAAAAACAGCTTTTTCTACTAATTGTGCCATTTTTTGCTCATTACATCTTTTCTACCAATTTTTTTTTGTATGGATTAAGCTTGTCAATGAATATCCTTAAAGAGAAGCAAATAAGTAACGCCTGACTTCTTAAACGATTGTGAAGAACTTCAGTGTTAACTGGAAAAAAAGTGTTACATTCAAGTAAATCATTATTCCAACAGTTCTAAAATATTACTTGGATTTAGCACTTTTTGGTTACATTCAAATAATATGTTTACTCGATCCAAGTAAAATTTACTTGAACTGAGTGAAAATTTTGCTCAGAACTATTGGAGTAATTATTTACTTGAAAATAACATTTTTTTCAGTGCTATTTACACTTTCCGAAATAAGAGGTATGATAGCAATAAAGAGAAAGGCCCATAAACGATGGCAGCAAACAAGGGCGACTGAGGATAAGAGATTTTTAAATAAATTAAGTTAAGAATTTAAAAACAAAATCAAAACTAATAAAAATGAAACTCTTAACAACCGTTTGAACGAATTAAAACATAAATCGAAGGAAAATAAATACACGAATGAGTGTTAATTAGCAGTGGAGTACTTCATCGGGGGTACATCCACACCAATGTGCAACAGATAATAGAGGCAAATTGATTGATAGATCTCATCTAGTTTCAATTCTTCGTCTATATGAGCAACATAGGCTTTAAAAACAAAAATTTACACTTTTCAACTCATGTATTAAATTTTCATCTTCGTTTCTCCCGAAGCGTATTCCGTGTGGATTGGATCCTTCTTGCGTTAAACTACAGCCAAAAAAGAGACACGACGGAGTCGTCGAGCCGGCTTCGCCTAATTCGAGGCGTCCCACGTCCGTGTGAGATGCCGACGAAATGTCACGCGATCGTCATCTCGACTCGACGAGGACAAGTTCCACGAGGACGAGTCACGGGAATCCGCCGGAATGCTCTCGTCTCATGCACGCTCAGGCACGTTAACGAGATCAGGCTGAGCGAGCTTCGGGCTTCCGCGTTGCTCTAAGCTTCCGTCGTCACCGTCGTGACGAGCGTCAGCTTCCGCGAGTTCTCGGCCTTCGCGCGTTCACACTTCGCGTCAACGTGTGTATATATATATATATATATATATATATATCGCGAAAAAAACATATACACGACTGCCTGAGTGGACGGGCGCAAAAGATAGGTACAAATGTTTATAAATATACATAAAGAAAAAAAAAGAAAGAATTAAACACACAATCGCCTTCTCTCTATTTTTTGATCTAGTAGGAAGAAAGGAGGTAAGAGAGCTGTAAAACAAGCAAGCCGGAGGCGAGACAGTTGCGCTCCGCGATTATTACACAGATTATTTTTGCGGATGGGTGTATGCGTGCGTGTCGCTGTTGTACGTGCGTGTGTATGTATGTGTGCGTACCCCCCGGGGAAACGTAACACGTAGAGTCATAGATAGATTATCGTCGTGTCAGCAACGATCGGCGGACGGGAATCAAAAGCCGTGCGTATGTGAACGTTGTACCGCATATAACAAGAGTAAAAGGTGTTCGGACACGATACACAGGCGCGGGACGTATCTGTCTTTCCCCTTTCGTCTCCAGCTGAATTCTCGCGGATTCGCACGAGAATTTGTCATTATTATTACGTACCAGTGTAAATATATATGAATTAATGCGTAACGAAGGAGGGAGACGCTATACGCGCCGGCTGATCGCGCACGAGGGAAGAGATGCAAAAAGTGTGCGTGTGTATGTGTGTACAGGTTACATAAGAGAGAGAGAGAGAGAGAGAGAGAGAGAGAGAGAGGAAAAATGAAAAAAAAAACAAAGAGTGTATATATATTATCGAGATATGCGAGAGACAGTAAATTAAATTTGTATCATAACAAGAGATACGGGGAGAGGAACGACACGCGCGCACACACTCGTATCTTCGTCGCGTCGTCCTCGTCGCCGCGCTCGGGAGGCGCGTACGTAGGCTTCGATAATAAAGACTATCCCTTTTTACAAATAATCCACCCCCCCGACGTGCCATGGTCTCTCCTCGTCCCTCAGCGACCACTTCGACCACTTATCCGAAACGGAGACCTCATCTCGCGATAACGTTGATCGTTAGATATGTAATTCGTTCGCGTGCTCTTCGATCGTCCGAACGTCGCGCGACGAAACACCGAACCGCGTGTAGTCGTCGTCGCCGTCGGCACGCTATTTCTACACTTTATCAGACGTGTAAATTGAAGGTACTGCATCGATATGCGTGGTTGAATTGAACGAACGCCCGCGATCCTTCGTTTTCTTTCTCGTCTCTTTCTTCGCTCTTCCGTCAAGTTTCTCGTCGAACCTCGAGAGACGCGACAACCATCGCCGCCGGTATATATATCTATGTATTTATCAAAGATAACCAACTAAAACCCCAATAAGAGTCCGTGCGTACGCGCGGATATTGATCGCGCACGGGCGATCGAACGCAATTAATCTAATTGTTTGATAGGCGACAGAGTTTTAAATTATTGTTCGTTTTCTCGTGTCGTTTCTACGCGTTCTACCCGCCGGATACTGGCCGGCACGACCAGCTGCGCGGCAGGATCAGGTCCAGGTACTTGTCGTCATTAGGTAGACAGTTTATCCTGGCGTAGTACTCGATCCCATACAAGCCGATCATGATGCCGTTGCCTATGCAGAGGCTCGTCCACATGAAGACGTTGCTTGCGGAGCGCTTGTTGAAGATCAGCACGAAGCCTAAGCCGCCGAACATGATAAGCATCACCGGGTAGAAGAAGCGGAAGGTGAAGGCTAGTATGTACTCGTGGAAAACAGAGGAGATGAAGAAGACAGCGTAGGTAGCCAGGACTTTGTTGCGCGGCGACACGATTTCGTACATGTCCTTGTAGACGTACGTGTAGAGCCAGTCGTGCACCACGACGTTCCAGGTGCGGTAGTACGCACGGTAAGTCGTGCAATTCCACCAGTCCTGCAATGATAATAATGGTAAAAAGAAGAATATATAATAATGGTAAAGAGAATAATAATAATAATGATAATAGCAATAATATTGATAGTAATAATAATTATGTGGAAGGAAAGAGATGTAAACACAAATTGGCATAGTATTTTTCACGCATGAATTACACCGTTTTAGAACTTTCCGTAAGATCTGGACGATATATATAGAAAGATACATATTGCATTCAAATAAATATTATTTGTTTAAAGTATTTAGAGTATTTCATAAATTTATATATTCATAAATATATATCGGCAAATATAATAAGTTCATCACATACAAACGTCAAATATATTCGAAAGATATTCTGAATCCTAGACTTTAATATTTCACAATTAAGAAAATTAAATTAAAACAAATTTCCGTTTGCTTATTCAAATTAGTTGAATATATATATGTATGTATTATTATTATTATTATATATTCGAAAAAAAACATATATATATATATTTTTTTTTAAGACTATTGTCCAGAGAAAAATATTTTCTGTTCAAGATAACTATTACCTTTGAAAAAAGAAAAATAAACGGAATAATTGTTTTTCTTCGCAATATAATAATATTTTTTTCCACGCACAAACTTTCAAAAGACGTCTTAAAGACGTCCTACTTTTCCTTAGACGTTTTTTGGTAGTCTGTACTGCCCGAAGGAATACATTACATGTTCTTCAAAAGGTATAGTTTCATTTGTGAAGACTGTGACAGTGCATAATGTGAGCTCGGGTGACTCGCGAGACTCACTTTGTAAAACAAGCGATCAGCAAATCGCAGCATTTCCGCCCAGGCATTCATCCAGGCGTGCAGCAAGCAATAGAATGAGGAGACACATATGAGTATGCCGGGCATCATCATTCCGAAGATATTCTTCACGTACCACCTCCAGTTTAAGGGTTTCGTGCCGAAGACATGGAAGGTCGGCGCCACGAAACGTTCCATGATGAAGGCGATATAGAAGATCACCATGCCGACCTCGATAAAATTGCGGAACACCGCTTTCCACCTGACCACTTTCGTCCTAGAAAATCGATCGCATTTATCTTCACGCTCCTTTCTTCCCGGTGCGGTCTCGGTACTAGGGAATCGTCTTACCTGGGGTAACTGTCGCTGTATACCAGTGTCGGCGCGAACAGAAAATACAAGTAATGCGAGAAGCCTGGACTGCTCGGTTTTGGGGTTTCCGTGTGTGGTTTATACGACACAAATTTGGCTCCTACGCTCCTTATGAAAGCGTGACTCTTCATCATCAAGCGTAGCTGAAAAATCAACATACAACGTTTGTGATTTACACGGATAAGATCACATTGTCGCAAGTTAGACCTCTTAGAACAACTATATATATATATATATATATATATATATATAT